CTCCTAAATCCCAACGTGGGATCCTAAATCCCAGCCTGGGCTCCTAATTCTCAGCCTGGGCACCTGAGTCTCGCCCCAGGCTCCTAATCATGCCCTCTTCCCTCGCAGCTCTTCAAGGACGCGTGGCTGCTGCACATGCAGGCCAACCCCTGGACGTGGCAGCCGCTCAAGGTGGAGAACGAGGACCACGGAGCGCCGGAGCTGTGGTGCCATCCTGCCTGCAGGGTACGGGCACGGCGGGGTCCCTGCCCCCACACAGCCCCTCCTCCTGCTGCCCTTGGGCCACATTCCCTGGCCAGGGAACAAAGCACCGATCACACCCACCATCATCCAGGGGGCGTGATCTCGGCAGCAAAGTGGGCTCCTAAATCTGAACCCAGGCTCCTAAATCCCAACCCAGGCTCCTAAATACCAACCTGAACTCTTTAAATATCACACTGGGCTCCTGAATCTCAGCCTGGGCTCCTGAATTCCAGCCTGGGCTCCCAGATCCCAACCCAGACTCCTAAATCTCAAACTGGGCTCCTGAATCTCAGCCCAGGCTCCTGAGTCCCAACCCGGGCTCCTAAATCCCGACACAGGCTCCAAAATCTGAACCCGGGCTCCTAAATCCCAACACAGGCTCCAAAATCTGAACCTGGGCTCCTAAATCCCGCCCCGTGCTCCCTGCCCAGCCCGCTCCCCAGCCCCTGGTTTCGCGGTGCAGAGGCTCCTCGCGGTGTCGGTGACCGGTCTCCTCTCTCGGCAGGTGGGGCAGTGTGTGGTGGTGTTCAGCCAAGCCCCCAGCGGGAGGGCCCCGCTCAGCCCCAGCCTCAACTCGCGCCCGTCGCCCATCAGCGCCACGCCGCCCGCCCTGGTGCCGGAGTCGCGGGAATACCGCTCGCAGTCCCCGGTGAGGAGCACGGACGAGGCTCCCTGCGTGAACGGCCGCTGGGGCACCCTGCGCCCGCGGGCGCAGCGGCACACGCCGGCGGGCTCCCGCGAGGGCAGCCTGTCCCCGGCCAGGGGGGACGGCTCCCCCGTGCTCAACGGGGACGGCGCGTCCCCCGGAGCCCCCCCGGACAGCCCGGGGCAGGCGCTGTCCCCCGGCACCCCCTCGGCCGCCGAGGGCCTCGACCCGCGCGTGGGGCCTGGGCCGCGCCGGGGCTCGCTGCCGGAGCACGGGGAGCTGCGCCTGGGCGCCGCCGAGCCGGGCTGGGAGCACAAGCCCCTGGACGGCGCCGAGGGCAGGACGGCGGGCGCGCGGATCCCCCCCGAGCACACTAACGGCCTGCACAGCCCCCCGCCCGCGCCCGGCTCCCTGCCCCTGTCCCCCGGCTCCCTGCCCGTGTCCCCCGGCGCGCTCCGCCGCAGCCTGGAGGCCGTCAAGGCCTTGGCCTCCAAAGCCGCCTCGGCCTCCTCGGCGCTCAGTCCCCCCCCGGTGTCGTCCCCGGGCTCCCCCGGCGCGGAGCCGGCGCGGGCGGGCGCGGCCCAGGGGGACGGGCACTCCCTGCCGCCCATCGCCCGGCGCCTTGGCCACCACCCGCCCCAGTCCCTGAACGTGGGCAAGCCCCTGTACCAGAGCATGAACTGCAAGCCCATGCAGATGTACGTGCTGGACATTAAGGACACCAAGGAGCGGGGCAGGGTCAAGTGGAAAGTGTTCAACAGCAGCTCCGTGGTGGGACCCCCCGAGACCAGTCTGCACACGGTGGTGCAGGGCAGGGGCGAGCTCATCATCTTCGGCGGCCTCATGGACAGGAAACAGAACGTCAAATACTACCCCAAAACAAATGCCTTGTACTTTGTGCGAGCAAAGAGATAATGCGGCCCCAGCCCGCCGCCACCCCCGTCCTCCCCCTTCCCGCGGCTCTTCCCGGTCCTTCCCGGCCCCCATCCCGTCACACAGCGACCAAACTGTGAATTAGGGAGCAGGAAACCAATAAAAGTCCGAGCAAAGCCTCCAGCGCTGCCCAGTCAGACCCCAGTGAAGCCGGTGGCGGAAGGACCCCAGGGATTCGGGGTGGATGGAATTCTGCCATCCGGGACCCCCATGAGGTTGATTTTCCAAGGGTTTGGGAGGCTTCGTCCCTCCGAAACCCCTCCAGAGCTCCTCGGGAGCCTCGTGGGGTTTGAGTGAGCCTGGTTTTGTAGGAACAACCCAAACTCTGGCAGGCAGGAGGAAGGAGCCGGGTGAATTCCACGCCTGGCTCCGTCAGGAGAACAGCAGCAATATCCCCCTGGGAATGCCCAGCACTGGGAAATCCTGCTCGACACAAACACGATGCCTTTTTTTTTGCCTCACCTGCCGCTCTCGCCCCTGTCCTTGGGCAGGGCCAAAACAAGGAGGAAAGGACAGGATTTTGTGTCAGAATGCCAAATATATTGATTGTTCCCATCCCTCCTCTCCCTGCCATGCTGGATCAGGCTTCGGGATCGGCCCCGATCCCATCTGATCACCTAAAAATCCACTTATCTCCCCAAAATGGAGACGTTTGGCTGCCAATTCCCCTCTGGACTTCAAGGGTTCATTTCACTCGACATCCCAAACCCATTCAAGGCCAAACCAGCCCCTTGGAGCTTGGGGACAGGGTGGGTTTTCCAGGGAAAAGGATGAATATTGGTGAATTTGAGGGCGTGAGCAGCCTCTGCAGCAACTTCACCTCATCTTTGCACGTGCCTCCTTCCACACGGATTCCATTCAAATCCCAAGGGATTGAACCTGTGCGTCCTTCTGGGACAACCCCCCTCCTTCCCTTTCCCCTCCGGGGGGTGGGAAAAACAGGTGGATTCTGCCAGATTTTGGTCAACAACCTCCAGGACCCCGAAAACAGGGAGCCCTCCCCAAGCCGGCAGCGCCATGACGTGGTCCCTCCTTCCCGGGATTTTTGTTTCCCTCCATTCCCACTGAGCTTTTTGCCGGTCGGAGCCTTAAATCCCATCCCAGCCGTGTGGGGATGGGGAGGGATTTGCTTCACCCTGTTGCCACCTCTGTAAATAAACCCCTGGTCCAACCCGACCTCTCCCGTCCATCCCAAAATGATTTGTCCCAAGGGAAAAGCAAAATTGTCCCTGTCCCAAAAAAACCAGAAACCTCAGGAGCACCAAGGGTGAGCTGTGAAATATTCCCTCTGGGAAGGCGGTCGGGGCTTCGGCAGCGATTCCCACCCCCCTTTGCATGTTTTTGGTCATCCATCCCAAAAAAAGAAAGGGATGGATGGAGCGTTGATTCCTTCTCCCTACGCGGGGCACCCCTGGAGGGGTGTTTTCCCAATGTTTACATCCCGAAAATCCCACCAAGCCGGGGCCGTCCCTGCTCCACCCCTGCCATGGAAACGCATGTTCTGTGCCCTTAACGAGGAATTCCTCCCAAACTTTGATCCCTGGATCCCCCGGGAGCCGCTGGTGCTGTGAGCGAGGTGCCCCCCCCGCGACTCAGGTGTCCCCCCGCCGTCATTCCCGACTGCAGGAACGGGAAGCGATTCCGGTGATATTTAAAACCTTCTGTACATTTTTGGGGGGTTCGTGGGGGTCCCTCCCCCCCCAATCCCGAGGAATTTTTAGCGGTTTAACAAATAAAAAAAAAAAAAGGAAAAGAAATGGATGGTCGGTGATTTTGGGGAGAGAATGACACGGAGGGGAACTCCCTGCTGCCATTCCCGAAAGTTTGGGGGTGAAAAAGGGAGAATGTGGGGTCTTTTTGGGTGAAAAAAGGGGAATATGTGTCCCAGGAGCAATGGGGGGAAAGGGAGGCAACAGGGTTGGGGGTTCAGGAAAAGGGGGCAGTACTGGGAACCAGAGATCCCAAAGCTTGTCAGGGATGGAAACTGGGAATGGGGACCCCAAAGCCCACTGGGGTTGGAAACTGGGGACCCCAAAGCCTGCTGGAGGTGGGAATTGGGGCCCCCAAGGCTTGTCGGGCATGGAAACAGGATGGGAGCCCCAAAGCCTGACAGAGTTGGGAACTGGGGGCCCCCTCAGCCCTGTTAGAGGTGGGAATTGGGGATGGGGACCACAATTCCTGGGAGAACTGGAAACTCAGGGGCCCAAAGCCTGCCAGGGCTGGGAATTGGGGATGGGGATCCTAAAACCTGCTGGGGCTGGAAACTGCAGATCCCAAACCCTGCCAGTGTGGGGAATTTTAGACCCCACAGCATTCCAGAGTCAGTAATTAGGGAGGAGGACTCCAAAGCCTGGGAGAATTGGGGACCCCAAAGCCTGTTGAAGCTGGGAATTGGAGATGGGGATCCCAAAATCTGTTGGGGCTGGAATTTGAGAGCTGGGGATCCTAAAGCCTGTCAGGGCTGGGATTTGGGGATGGGAACCTCAAAGTCTGCCAGTGTTGGGAATTAGGGACCTCAGAGCCTGTTGGGATTGGAAATTGGGGATGGAACCCCAAAGTCTGCTGGATCTGGGAACTGGGGACTCAAAAACCTGTCAGGGTTGGGAACTGGGGATCCCAAAGCCGGGGGGGGGCTGAGATTTGAGAGACCCCAAAGCCTGTTGGGGCGGGAATTTGGGGAGGGGGATCCCAAAACCTGCCAGTGTTGGGAACGGGGGATCCCGAAGCAGGGTCGGCTCTCTCCACGTGCCGCCCCGGCCCATCCCCGGCGCATGCGCGGTTGGGGGGGCGCGGTCTCGCTCTAGCCACGCCCCGTATGTGACGTCACGCGGAAGCGGCGGTGAGCGGAGGGGCCGCGTCTTAAAGGGACCGCGCCGGGAAATTGGGGGGGTGGGGACACGAATTGGGGGGGCTCGGGGGGCACAGAGCGCGGGGAGGGAGAGGGGGGCTGCGATCACCCCCTTTTAAATGTTGGGGAGGGGGGCGGAGCCCGTTAGGAGGGCACAGACCCCGGGGCGGGCGGGGACCCCCTGGGAGGGTGATGGGACCCCCGAGGGGGGGTTGGAGACCCAGAGGGGGCTTTTGTGACCCCGTGGTCGGGTTTAGAGACCCCAAAGGAACTTTTAGGTACCCCGTGGGAGGATGCTGGGACCCCATGGCAGGTTTAGGGACCCTATGGAGGGTTTTAGGGACCCCAAAGGTGGTTTTAGGGACTCCAGGGGGGGTTTTAGGGACCCCAAGAGAATTTTTAGGGACCCCATGGCAGGATGCAGTGACCTCAGAGGGGAGTGCAGGGACCCCACGGGGCGGTTTTAGGGACCTCACAGGGATTTTAGGGACCCCATGGGAGGATGGTGGGATCCCAGAAGGGAATTTAGGGACCCCCTGGGTGGTTTTAGGGACCGCTTAGGAGGTTTAAGGACCTTATGGAGGGTTTTAGGGACCCTGTGGGGGGGTTTAGGGACCCCAAGAGAATTTTTAGGGACCTCATGGCAGGATACAGAGACCTCAGAGGGGGGTGCAGAGACCCCACAGGGAGTTTAGGGACCCCATGGGAGGATGGCGGGATCCCAGAGGGGAATTTAGGGACCCCATAGGGGGCTTAGGGACCCCAAGGGAATTTTAGGGGCCCCATGGGGGGTTCAGGGACCCCACAGGTGGTTTTAGGGACCCCGAGAGAATTTTTAGGGCCCCCCTGGGCTGACCCAGAGCCCCCGAGGGGGTCAGAGGGGACTCCCCGCCCCCCAGAGCCGCGGGGTGCAGTGACCCCCCCTGGGGGACGGGGGGTCCCCTCCGTGTCCCGCAGGCGCGGGGGGTCCCATGGCAGAGCGGGATTCCCAGGATCCGCAGGATTCCCAGGATCCGCGGGATTCCCGGGATCCGCGGGATTCCCCGCTGGAGCGGGGCTGGCTCCTGTCGCCCCCCCGGCCGCCCCTACCTGGAGTCGCTGCTGCAGCGGAACCGGCGGCGGGTGTTCGGTGAGACCCCCGCCCCGCCGGGCTCAGCCCCCCAAAACCCCCCAAAAACCCCCAAAAACCCCCAAAACCGCCGTCCCCCTCCCCAGGGCTGCTGGAGCGGCCGGCGCTGCCGCCCCCCCTGGCCGTGCCCACCCTGCCCTACAAACTGTTCCTGGTGGGAAGAAGCGGCGTCGGGAAAACCGCCCTGGTGGCAGCGCTGGCCGGGACCCCCCGGACCCCCCGGGCCCCCGGGACCGCCGCGACCCCCGCGCACCACGAGACCCTCGGTACGGCCCGGGAGCCATTGGGGTGGAGGGGGAACCCCACAGGGGGTTCAGGGATCCTGGGAGGGGGGTGTTCATGGACCCCTGATGGTGGGACCCCATAGAGGGTTCTGGGACCCCATGTGGGGGTTCAGGGATCCCATAGGGGTGAACAGGGACCCTATAGGGGTGCACAGGGACCCCCGATGGTGGGACCCCACAGGGGGTTTGGGATCCCACAGGGGTGTCAGGGATCCTGGGGGTGGGAACGGGGTTCATGGTGGGACCCCATAGAGGATTCTGGGACCCTACAAGGATGTCAGGGACCCTTTTGGGGGTTCTGGGACTCTCTGGGAGTATTCAGGGACCCCGGATGGTGGGACCCCATAGAGGGTTCAGGGACCCCATGTGGGGGTTCAGGGACCCCACAGGGGGTTTTGGGATCCCATAGGGTTGTCAGGGACCCTCTGAAGGGGTTCATGGGCCCCTGATGGTGGGATCCCACAGCAGGTTCTGGGACCCTACAGAGATGTCAGGAGCCCTGGGGGGGGGTTCTGGGACCCCATGGAGGGTGGTAGGACTCCAAAGAGGGTTCTGGGACCCTACAGGGATGTCAGGGACCATTTGGAGGGGGTTCTGGGACCCCATGGGGGTATTCAGGGACCCCTGATGGTGGAACCCCAGAAGGGGTTCACGGACCCTACAAAGAGAGGGCCTAGGGTCCCTCTGGGGGGATTCAGAGACCCCATGGGAGGATACAGGGATGGGGAGGGCACAGACCCCACAGGAGGGGTGCAGAGATCCCATAGAGGGAGTTCATGGGCCCTGTGGGGGAGTTCTGGGACCCTGTGGAGGGTTCTGGGACCCCACAGAGGGTTCAGGGATCCAAAAGGGGAT